CGTCAGGGCTTAAGTACCCCTTTCCCTCCTTGTCCAGGCATGTGCTCGCCATTGTTCCATCTGTGCGCCACACTCTTCTATAGAAGTAAAGTGCCTTGATGAGGAAATTTATATTAGAGTGATACTTTTGCAGCCTTGAAAATTCTACTTATAACACTGATTATCTGAGGTGGAACATTTTCATCCTGAAACCATCCCCACCCCACCACCAGTCCATGAAAAGCTGTCTTCCAGGAAACCAGTTACTGGTGCCAAAAAGGTCAGAGACCACTGCTTTACATTACTATTTCATAGTGTTGAACCAGCCTTTCAAAATTAGTGAAATGCAGAACGTACACTGGTCCTCTTCCCCTGATACAGGGAAGACCTGGGACTAGAGTCTATGTTTTTGTACTTATGAGATATGTTAAAGTACAGTTTTCAAGAAGGTAAAAATGTGGCTCTCTGGCAAATATACAACAAAATGTGTCAAAGATTATACTTAGCTCACCCATTAGTGAGGGAACCAGCAAAGAAACAGTGACCAATTCAAACAGCATTTGAAAAACAACATTTCTTTCTTCTTTTTCTTTCTTTTTTTTTTTTTTGAAACGAAGTTTCGCTCTTGTTGCCCAGGCTTGTTGCCCAATGCAATGGCGCGATCTCTGCTCACCACAACCTCCGCCTCCCGGGTTCAAGTGATCCTCCTGCCTCAGCCTCCCGAGTAGCTAGGATTGCAGACATGTGCCACTGTGCCCAACTACCTTTGCATTTTTAGTAGAGACAGGGTTTTTCCATGTTGGTCAGGCTGGTCTCGAACTCCAGACCTCAGGTGACCCACCCGCCTCAGCCTCCCAAAGTGCTGGGGATACAAAATACAAAAATACAAAAATTATCCGGGCATGGTGGGGCATGCCTATAATCCCACCTACTCAGGAGGCTGAGGCAGGAAAATCACTTGAACCTAGGAGGTGGAAGGTTGCAGTGAGCCAAGAACATACCACTGCACTCCAGCCTGGGCAACAGAGCAAGACTCCATCTCAAAAAAAAAAAAAAAAAAAAAAA